AACTGCCACCACTACTACCATCAGTAACACTACAATTACTACTACAACTACTACGACTACGACGACTACGTCTTCTTCGACGACTACTTGTACTACTGCTACTACTACTACTACTACTATTACTACTACTACTACTACTACTACTACTACTACTACTACTACTACTACTATCACTACTACCACTACTACCATCACTTCCCCTAGTACTACTACCACCACCACCACTAGTATTTCTACGACTACTACTACTACTACTACTGCTACTACTACTACGACTACTACTACTACTACTACTACTACTACTACTACTACTACTACTACTACTCCGACTACTACTACTACTACTACTACTACCACCACTACTCTTGGTACAACAACTACTACTACTACTTCTACTACTACTACTACCACTACCACTACCACTACAGCTACTCCTCACACTGTCACCACTGCTACTACCGCTACTATTACTATCACGATTAACAGTACTACTACTACTACTGCTACTACTACTACTACTGCTACTAGTACAACTACGACTACTACTAGTGGTAGTACGAGTACTACTACTATTTTTACGAATACTACTACTACTACTACTACTACTAATCATACTAATGGTACTGCTACTATCACGATTACCACTACTATTACTACTACTACTTTTACTGGTACGACTACTCCTGCTGCCACTGCTGCTGCTAGTACTACTACTCCTACTGCTAGTATTATCACTACTACTACTACTACTACTACTACTACTACGACTACTACTACTACTACTACCACTACTACTACTACTACTACTACTACTACTACTACTACAACTACTACTACTACTACTACTACTACTACTACTACTACTACTACTACCATTCCTACTAGTGTTACGACTGCTACTACTACTACTACTCCTACTACTACCACGACTAATTCTACCATTCCTACTTCTGTTGCGGCTGCTGCTACTACTACTACTAATACTACTCCTACTACTACTACTATTACCTGTATTGTTACTACTACTACTACTACTACTACTACTACTACTACTACGGCGACAACAACAACTACCACTACAATTGCTACTACTATTTTATTACTACTGCTAGTACTACTACTACTACGACGGCTGCAACGACCGGAGCTATTACTATTACTACAACTACCGCAACAACAACTACTACTACGACTACGACCATGGCCACAACTGCTACCAGTGCTACTACCACTACTACTATTACTATTACCACGACTACTGCTACCACTACCACTACCACGTTTGCTTCTGCTGCTGCTTGTGCTACTACTACTTGGTCTTTGCTTCTCCTATTGTTCTTGCTACTACTACTAATGATGAGATCCAGAGTTCGACGACTTTTATTATTAAGGCTACTACTACTACTACTGCTACTTCTACTACTATTATTATTACCTCGAGTAGTATTATTTCTGCGACGACTACTACTACTACTACTACTACTACTACTACTACTACTACTACTACTACTACTTCGACTACTACTACCACCACCACCACCACCACTACTACTACTACTACTACTACTACTACTACTACTACTACTACTATTACTACTACTACTACTACTACTACTACTACTACGACTGGTACTACGACTACGATTATTATTACTACTACCATTACTACGATTACTACTACTACTACTACTACTACTACCACTACTACTATTTCTGTGACTACGACGACGGCTGCTATTACTACTCCTGTTACGACCACTATCACTATGCCTACTACCACTACTACTACTACTACTTTTCCTGCTGCTGCTACTACTACTATTGCTACGTTCGCTGTCACTACGACTAGTAATTCTAGTAGTACTTCCCCCAGTCCCACTACTACTACTACTACTACCAGTACTAGTAGTAGTAGGAGTAGTAGTAGTAGTAGTAGTAGTAGTAGTAGTAGTACGACTTCTACTGAGCATATTATTACTACTACTACTACTGCCACTACTACTACTACTACTACTACTACTACTATTACTACTACTACTACTACTACTACTACTACTACTACTACTACTTCTCCTACCACTACTATTACTGATACTACTACTTCTTCTATTACTACTACTGTTACTACTAGTACTACTACCACTACTACTACTACGACTATTACGACTACTACTATTACTACTACTACTACTACTACTACTACTACTACTACTTTTACTACTACTACTACTACTACTACTACTACTACTACGACTACTACTTCTACTATTACTCACTATTACTATTACTACTACTACTACGACGACCACGACGACGACGACTACTACTACTACTACTACTAAGTATTACTACCACTACTATGACCACCACAATCATTACGACTACTACTACTTCTACTACTACCACGACTATTACTACCTCCTACTACTACTCCTACTACTACTACTAGTACTACTACTACTACTACTAATACCACTACTAATACCACTACTACTATTTCTACTACTACTACTACTACTACTACTATTACTACTACGACTACGACTACGACTACTACTTGTATTACTGGTATTATTTGTACGACGACGACTACTACTACCACTACAACGACAATTCCTATTACTATGATTTTTATGCCGGCTACCGCTGCTATTATTATTTCTTCTACTACTACTACTATTACTACTACTATTATTACTATTACTACTACTACCTCTACTACTACCATTTCTACTACGACTATACTAACTACTACTACCACTACTATGACTATCACAATCTGTACGACTAGCACTACTCTTACCACGACTACTACCACTATTACAATTTCTGCTATTATTACTACTACTACTACTACTACTACTACTACTACTACTACTACTTGTTTTACTGCTATTTCTACGACGGCGACGACGACGACGACGACTACTACTACTTCTACTACTACTACTACTACTACTACTACTACGACGACTACTACTACTACGACGACTACTACTACCACTTCTTCTCATAATACGACTTCTACTACTACTACTACTACTACTACTACTACTATAACTACTACTACTACTACTACTACTACTACTACTACTACTACTACTACTACTACTACTACTACTACTACTACTACTACTACTACTACTACTACTACTACTACTACTACTACTACTACTACTACTACTACTACTACTACTACTACTACTACTACTACGATTACTCGTTCTATTACCACTACTATTACTACTATCATTAGTACTACAATTACTACTATTACTACTTCTACTACTGCTATTTCGACTGCTGCTGCCCATCCTTGTCATCCCCCGGCCCCTTCTCTTGCCATTTTTTCATCATCCTCGTCCATTTCCTTCCCCACGCGCCTTGCTGGACCTCCTCGGAGGATGAAGGAGGCACAGACGCACAACAGACATGCACATGCGCCTCCTCCTGACCCTCGTGTTCCTCGTCCTCTTCCTCCTCCCTTTCCTCCTCCTCCTCCTCCTCCTCCTCCTCTTCCTCCTCCTCATTCTCCGTAGCCATTTTGGCTCAAGATGCCGACCTTGGGAGGCTGTCAGCCTCCTGGCCGAACGGAGGCCGCTAGTCCGCGGACTGCATTCGAGCATAGTCGGTGCAAGGGTGTCCCGTTTATCGACCGTCTCCCCAGTTCAGTTCTCTCATGGCGGGTGTTCTCCCCGCAGCCACGGCCGCAGATGGGGCACTACGACGCGGTGGCATTCAGAAGCGCAAGCGTCATGGTGACGTTGATCCTCCTGGCGGGCGTGGTGATCGCTCGAGGACTCCACCGCCCAACGACGAGTCCGCCCTGGACTCCTTCGCCACCATGGCCTGCGTCCAGTCAGTCCCTCAAAGACAAGCTCGACTCCATGGAGTTGGCCATCAGGGGCGCCATCAACGCCTCCGTCTCCTCCGCGATGGACACTGCCACGGGCCCCGTCTCAGCCGCCCCTGCCGCCGCCCAACCTGGCATCAACGGCCTCTCGGGCAAGATCGAGCAGGAGGTCGGCCTCGCTGTGGGCCAACAGATCGACGCCACCCGCAAGTCCTTCCAGCAGCAGTTCGACGCCTCCACTCAGCGGATGGGTGACATCGAGAACCGCCAGGACCAGGCCGACAAAGCCATCTCCCACATGTCCGATCAGATCGCGGCGCTGCAGAAGGCGCTGGAGGTGGCGAACACGCAGCCCGTGCAGGAGACTTGCGTCGGCCGCGACTTCGATTGAGATGCGGGCCTCACTATCGTCAAAGTGCACGCAGACGGCCTGGTCACCCTCGACAAAGCTACGGAGGCCCTCACCAAGTGGATCACAGACAGTGGCATCGAATAGTCGTACTTCAAGATCCAGGCCCAGGACGCATCCAAATATACATATATATATAGGTATATATAGATATCACGATCAAGTTCACGGGCCTCCCTGGGCCCGCCTCCCGCCGCGTTCAGAAGGCACTGGACAGCCTCCGCAACGCGGCGGCGGCAGCTTGCCCCGCAACCGCGCCCCAGCCATTGCAGGCAACGGCTTCGTCGAGCTGCGGGTGGGCCCAGACAAGTCGCCCAAGCAGATCAAGACAGGTATCGTCGGCAAGTGCACGCGGCAGGTCCTCGGGCCTTTCCTACCCACGCCTGGAGAGTGGACCGTGCCAAGGGCTGGATCTCCGCCAACTGGCCCCCCGCCCTCTCTTTCACAGCGCAGCCCAGAAGGGATGAAGCTACAGCGATCGCCTACCAGGACATGGGCCTCCCCGAAGGCATCGCGCGCGCAGATCAAGGACGCCATCAACGACGTGGTCACGCCCGAGGCCGCCCTTCAGTTCTGGCTTTGACAAGATTGCTAAAGGTCAGCAGCGTGCTCCCGGCGGCCCGACCCCGACCTTGGTGGTTGGCACTTGGAATGCTCGCGCCCTCCTCAGCTACCCAGGGCGTCGCGTGGTCGAAAAGTCTCCCCACCTGCGCCCCCCCCCCCCCCCCCCTCGACAAGATGGCCCCGGGCACCCGGGGGGCCCGTCAGAGCCGCGCCCAGCTGCTAGCCTCCATGCGGAAAATTAACACCAAGCTCTCCATGCACTCCCCCTTCGCGCCAGGTCACCAGGGGGAAGCCAGTGGCGGTGTAGCTGCAGTCTTCTCCGCAGGACTCCACGCGGAGAGCGGGGCCCTCCTCCCTGGGCGCGTCCCCCGCGCCGTATCCCAGGCCGACGACCAGAGGCTGATCTTCTACTACATCCCCAACTACGAGATCAACGTCGCGGCAGTCAGACGCACCTGGGCCCCAAGATCCTCATTGGCATGCACCTTGCAAGGGCCGGCCCGAGCTAACTCGCGCCGGTCGTCATCGGGGACTTCAACTTCGCCGCCGTCGGGAAGCCGGAGCTCACTGAGCCCGCCAACAGAGCCTCATCAGAGGCAACCGAGACATCCAAAGCATCCGCGCGCAAGTGGCATGGCGCGCTCAAGCGCCTGGTGGGGATCGAGGGCAGCGACGCCATTCACATCTGCGCAGAGACCCTGGCGGAGTCGACCATCGACCGCTGTTTCTGTTCGATCGCGCCTTCCCAGATGATCCAGCTCGCCGTCACCTCTACCACCTTCTCCACCCCTGAGCTGCTGTCTCGCCGTCGAGTCAGCGACCATGCCGCGGCCCTCGTCTCCTTCGCCATGCGCGACCTCAAGGCCGAGAAGAACCAGCCGACCGCCCAGTATATTTTCAAGTCCCCTATCTTCGAGCAGATCGCGGAGAAGGTGTTCGCCCTCGCTGACCTCGACAAGCTATCACCTCCAGCCAGACTACTCCAGAACACGGAACTCCTCCGAGAAGTGGCCCGCGCCGCCCGAGACCGCACTCATGAAGATCACCTCCAGCTGGCCAAGTCGCCGGCCCGCGCGGTCTGGCGCCAGGATCGCTCGCTGGCTGCCCGCCCCCTTCCGCGCACATGCCAAAGCTCAAGACATCCTCGACATCAGTAGTGACCAGGTCAGGCTCACCGACCCGGCCTCGTTCGAGGAGTGGGCCAGCACCCTCTTCCGCCAAGACGCTGATCAGCGGCGAGCTGCCATCGACCTGGCCCGCCAGAGAGGCCGCCTCCCTCACGCTCAAGCCCGCGCTCAGTCCCAAGCACTACATCGCCAGGTCCAGCTCTGGAGCCTGATCAGCAAACGCTTGGTGCTTACCGGTGTGAAGACGACTACGGGGACTGCGACGGGACCGACCGAGAGATTGCAGATGATCATGGAGCATTGGCAGCCTGTCTTCCAGGGCAAGAACGTGGACACTGCCTCGGCGGAGAGCTACCTCGACCGCTTCGTGCCCAAGACCGACTTCAACATATACCAGCCCCCCGACGACGACACGCTCAAAAGGTTCGCGAGCATATCCTCCTCCACTTCTCCTTGCATGGACGGGCCCCCCCATATTGTTTGGTCCGCACATGAGAAGTGCACGGAGACCCTCTGGCAGGTCATGACCTGGATGCTCGGCGGCGGCTTCTTCCCCGATGAAGCCAACGCGACGGCCCAGGCATTCCTTCCCAAAGGGGAAGAACCTGGCGACGCTGAGCACATCGGCTGCCACCGTGACCCGTCCAAAGTCCGAGTCCTTGGGCCCCGGAACACCTCCCTCAAGATCATCAGCAGCACGATGAACGTTGTGATGGCCGCGGTGGCTGCCGACGTGGTCCCAGCATCGCAGCGCGGGTTCGCCCGCCGCCGCAATTTCGGCTACAGCATCCTCGAGCTGGACGTCGAGAGCCGCATCGCGTCCGCCGACCCCGACGCCATGACCGAGCTGCCCGTGCTGGCGTCGCTGGACATCGCTCAGGCCTTCCCGAGCTTCGCCCACCAGTTCATCCGCCTCGCGCCGAAGGCAATGGGCGCTCCTGAGGCTGTCCTGAACTTCTTCGACTTGATGTACCACAACATCCTCACCTTGGCGCCGCGTGCCGGCTCGGGTGTCCCGCTCTTCTACATCCGCTCGGGCATCATCCAAGGCTGGGGGTGGAGTGGCACACTCTACGCGATGGGCGCTGCCTGCTTCCTCCTCGACCTTGAGCAGGCGCTACGGGCTGCGCCGTGCGTGTGCTGATGACATCGGGCTCGTGCTCGCGGCGGTCGCTCACCTCACGCACCTGAAGGGTGTGATGGCTCTCATGGAAGACCTCGCGTGCCTCGCGCTGAAGCCTGCCAAGTGCCACATCATCCCACTCGCAGGCCCAGTCGATGACGAGCTCGTGGACAAGCTGCGCAGCGCCCTGATCGCGATCGCCCCCCGCTTCCAGGAGTTCAACATCTGCGACCACCTGACATACCTCGGGCGACCGAGGGCCTATTCTACGCGAATGCCTTCCGGAAGTTCCGCTGGCGCACCAAGATGTACAGTGCCAGCGACGCTCCCTCGATAGGCTCCGCCCAGCTGTTCAATAGTCGTGCTCTCCTTGTCCTCAGCTACCTTGCCCAGTGCGCTCTGCTGCCCCACGAGTCCTTCAAGGTAGAGAACTGGGTCAATGCATCGGTCCTCAGGTTCCCCAGTGGCGCGCTCTGGGTCAGGGACTGGCCGAGGCTGCGGGACTGGGGTGTGCGCGCCCCGCGGTCCACGCAGCTCGCGATGATTGCCGCGATCGTCAGAGCCGCCACGTCCACCTTCCACAAGTTCCCCGAGATCCGCGAGCGCCTCCACCAGGGCATCGGCCAGCACGGGGATGACCTGACCCTGCTGGGCGCGGCTCGGGCCGCACGGCATCCCTCGCCGCCCTGGTGGAAGATGCCGCCCTTTGTCGAGACGTTCCACCAGATCGTGTCCGCGGAGTCGGACCACCGCTACCGCCCGCCCGCGCCGCTTGCCCCTGCCCTCGCGGCTGCGAGGGCGACGCTCGCAGCGGGCAAGCCAGCCCGCGTCCAGAGGCTGGCATATGCTGCTGCGAGGAGCGCGCAGGACGCGGACGAGATCGGCTCGTTCCTGGCGAAGCGCATTATGATCAAGCTGCCCGCCCTGGTGGACGTCTTCGAGAACGACCTCGAGGTGTTCGACAGGGTGAGAGCCGCGATGAAGAAACTACCGCCGTCGTGGGCTGCTGCATGGATGAGGGCCCTCGCCCACGAGTGCGGGCGCAGGTCCTGCATGTTCCAGTGCGCTGTGGGCGCCGACCCCGAGGAACACTACCTGACGCGCGGGCCGCTGGCTGCTGCCGTTGCGGCGGCGACCTGCGCCGCCGCCCAGACCGAGGCCGTGGCCAACCTCGCGCTGCTGGACACCACCATCGAGAACATCGAGCGGGTCGTCGTCGCCTGCGGCACGTACCACATGCCCCGCCTGGAGCACAAAGTCGACGCGGAGACCCTGCGCTCGACGGCGCGAGCAGCGCTGCGGGCCTCGAGGTCAATGCGCTGCCCGCCCCGGGCGCAGCGAGCTCCTCTCCGTCGCTCGGGGGGGAGCCGTCGGAGCCGCTGCACATGCACCTCATCCAGTTCACGCTCCAGGAGCGCACCGCCCCCACCGCGGCCAGCTCCCTCCACCCGTGGGCGCTCTTGTGAGCCGCGGAGGCCGCGGCGCGGCCGTGCGCGGGGGCGCGCGGCGGCGCTCCGCCAGCGGAAGGAAGACCGAGCGCCTCGGCACGCTCGACTCCTCCTCCTCACTCTGGCCTGCGGCCAAGCGCGCCAGCCCGCGCGCGATCGCGTGGAGAGGCCCAGCGGAGCCTGGCCTTCCGTGGCGGCGGCAGGGCGCGGTTGCCCCGCCGCCCCGCGCCGCGCTGCCCGCCGCTGTGGCGGAGAGGGCGGCCGCAGCCTTCGCGAAGAGCGGCAGCGAGCCGGCGCCCGCCCGTCGCCGGCTTGCTGGCTGCTTGTTCGCTGCGGGCGACGCGACGCGCCGTCGCCCGCATTGGCGCCCTTGCGCTCGGCGCTCGAGGGGCTGGCATCTGTGGCGCGCGGGCGCATGCCCTTGCGGCTGGACGGTTCGACGCGCAGAGCTTGGGTCGGGCCAGGTGCAGGTGGCACGAAGGCTGAGGGCAGCTCTGGCTGGCACCCCTGTTATGCCCGTCGTGCTTGAGGGGGCCCACCTCGGGGCGTTCCTCGCGCGGGGCAGCCCCTCGGGGCCTCGGAGGGGCTCGTGCTCTTGACCCGCCGCCTGGTGCCCACGTTTGCACTGCAGGCCCACGCTGCACGAAGGGCTCGGGGCCGCACCAGGCACGCCACACTGCACGAAGGGCCTGTCAGGGGGAAAAGAAACACACAGACACAATTAATCGTCGACTCCCAGGAAAATATGCAAAAATATGGGAAGTGGGGGGGAAGACAAAAAACCCAGAAAATATTGGAAAATATGGGGAATATTTTTATTTGTGTGTATTTATTTGTGTGTCCTAATTTCCCTTTACTGGGTCGCAGCAGCGGGGCGCCTCGCTGCTCGCCCGGCGCCGGCGGCGCGGTGGCGCGGTGGCCCCGCCCCGGCGGCGCGCATGGGGCGCCGGGCGGCGGGGGCCCGCTCGCGCGCGGGGGCGGGCGCGCGGCCTCCCCGAGGCGGCAGGGCCTTGCGCCGCCAGGGGGCGCGCGGCACCGCCGCGCGCCGCGCGTCACGGCCTGGGGCCGGGGAGCTGCCCTGCTCCAGGAGCTGCCCCCTCGAGGGCGCGAGGGCTCGTGGGCAGCCAGGGGGCATGGCAGTGGTGCGTTCCTCTCCCCTCCTCCTGCGTCCTGCGTCCTCGCCTCCCTTGTTCGACCCTTCCTTGCCGAGGGCTGCCAGCTGCGCAGTCATCGCCACCTTCGTGGGCCCCTGGGGGGCACGGCGGAGTAGGGGAGGACGCACATCCAGCCGAGACCTCGCAGCTCCCTGGTGGGCTGCGAAGTGCTCAATTGTCGCCACCTTCGTGGCCTTCTGGAGCCCAGCGGAGTGGGGGAGTACTCACATCCAGCCGAGACCTCGCTGCTCCCCAGGGGAGGGGCGAACTGCTCAACTGTCGCCAACTTCGCAGGCTCCTGGGATGCCCAGCGGAGTGCGGGAGTACGCACATCCAGCCGAGACATTGCAGTTTCCTGGGGGGGTGCGAACTGTGCAGTAATCGCAACTTTCGTGGGCTCCTGGGAGGCCCAGCGGAGGGAGGCACAGCAGAGTGGAGGAGTACGCACACCCAGCCGAGACCTCGTGGCTCCCTGGGGGGCTGCGAAGTGCGTGATTATTGTCATTGTCGTCGGTTCCTGTGAGGTCCAGCGGAGCAGATAATCCTCGCAACGTGTCCTTTTGCATGGAGCGTTAATTTAAATAGTCGACTCGCGTGGAGAAGGGGTTGGGCACGTTTCTGGTGTGTGTCTGGTTCTTTCTCACAGTACATATACACTCATGAATGTATGTATGTATGCATGCATGTATGTATGTATGTATGTATGTATGCCTGCATGTATGCAAGAATGTATCTATGTATGTTTGTATGAATGTATGAATGTATGTATGTATGTATGTATGTATGCATGTATGTGTGTATGTATGTACGTACGTACGTACGTACGTACGTACGTACGAAGGTAGGTAGGTAGGTAGGTAGGTAGGTAGGTAGGTAGGTAGGTAGGTAGGTAGGTAGGTAGGTAGATAAGGTATGAATGAATAGATGTCTGTGTGCATGTGTGCATGTGTGTATGTATGTATTCACGCATGCATGCATGCATGCATGCATGCATGCATGTATGTATGTATGTATGTATGTATGTATGTATGTATGTATGTATGTATGTATGTATGTATGTAGGTATGTTTGTATGTATGTATGTATGTATGTATGTAGGTATGTATGTATGTATGTAGGTGTGTATGTATGTAGGTATGTAGGTATGTAGGTATGTAGGTATGCAGGTATGTAGGTATGTAGGTAGGTAGGTAGGTAGGTAGGTAGGTAGGTAGGTAGGTAGGTATGTTTATACAGTGTACACATATGTGTTGTTATGTTCCTCTCTCTCTCTCTCGCTCTCTCCTTCTCTCTCTCTCTCTACTCCCACTCCTCCTTTTCAGGAAAGTGTGGAGCTACATCGGATACTGGAGGCCCTCACATCATCGTCATTTCCCTACACTCTCCCCTCCCAACTTGCAGGGGATATGGAGGAAATAACGAGAATACGATGAAGAGGTGGAGGAGGCTAGGAGGGAGGAGGAGGCAGATGCGGAGGGGCAGGGTGATGAGGGTGATGAGGAAGATGATGCAGCATGATAGGAGGGGATGAGGAGCAGAAGGCGGCTGAGGGATATGCAGGCGACGGGGAGGTGGTAGGATGAGGGGGAGGATCATCAGCAGTAGTAAAAGGGAGGAGGGTTCATGGACAAGAGTAATAGTGAGAAATGTGCATGGAGGGAGAAGGGAGCAGGTACCATTCGGGAGGAGGGAGAGGGAGAATGAGGCATAAGGTGGAGCAGGAGGAGGAGAAGGAGGGAGGTGGTATTTCGTGTGAGCCCCGAGGAGCGATACTGGAACAAAACGGGGCGGCAGAGAAAGACAATCTACGACGCGCTCAGGTCACTCGGCGTCTTCGAGATCTACAATGACGAGCTCGTAGAGAAGCTCGTCCACGCCGTCGAGATCCACATGCGCGTCGCCGGCTCCTCGGTGAACGAGGTGCTTGCCGAGCAGGGCGAGATTGGTGACGGGCTGTTTGTGGTGCTCTCCGGCTCCGTGGTCTGCTACGACGGGCACGGGGTCCGCAGAGAGGTGCTGTCGCAGGGCGCCGTCGTGGACGAGCTCGCCGTCCTGTGGGGGATGCCGCGGAGGTGGACGATGAAGGCGGAGGCCGAGGAAGCTGCGCAGCGGCGGTTTGCCCCTGCTCTGCCACTGTCAGGAGGAAAAAAACAAAACACACACACAGACACAACTAATCGTCGATCCCCAGGAAAATATGGGAAGCTGTGGGAAGTGGGGGGGAAGACAAAAATCCAGAAAATGTGAGAAGGTATGGGGAATCTGGTTAGTTGTGTCTGTTTATTTGTGTGTCCCAGTTCCCCTTCACACTGGTCCACCCCCGGCGTGGTGGGGGGGCGGGGGGGGGGGGGGGCAAGGCGGCGGCTGGGGACTCCCAGGGGCGCAGGGCACCGGTGCGTCGGGACACCCCCTCCTCCTCCTCCTCCTCCTCCTCCTCCTCCTCCGCCTCCTCCTCCTCCTTCCTTTCCTCCTCCTCTTCCTCCTCCTCCTCCTCCTCCTCCTCCTCCTCCTCCTCCTCCTCCTCCTCCTCCTCCCTCCTCCTCCCCCTCCTCCTCCTCCTCCTCCTCCTCCTCCTCCTCCTCCTCCTGCTCCCTGCACGCCCAGGCGCTCTCCCGGCCCAGAAGGGGCCTCGTTCCTTGCCCGGCGTTCCCTGTGGCAGCAGCCCGGCTGCGCTGCGCGGAGTTCCTGCCCTAAACCCTAAACCCTAAATCCTAAACCATGGCGTTCCTTGTGGCAGCAGCCTGGCTGCGCTGCGCGGATTTCCTGCCCATGTGAAGGCGGACGGCGTGTGCACGTTTGGGAAGCTGAGGCGCGAGGACTGCATCAACATATGCATCCGTTTCGAGCACGGGCAGCGCGAGCAGCGCCAGCTGCTCCTGCAGAAGAGCAAGCTGATGGAGATGATGGAGCCCGAGGCGGGACCGTGAAGCCGAGTGCGGCCAGGGTCTCGCCCTGTCAGTCTCCCGAGGAAAGCAACGATACGTGTGTTGTATATTTACATACAAACCAAGATTTCGGTACGTAATAAGCAAACAAGCAACCATAGTCGCAGACTACGATCAATCGTATTCAGATCATCCCGGCAAAGCAGCCCCACAGCGACGTGTAGGAGCACATCTGGAAGCATTCCCCTCAAGATTCAGATGAGAATCCGGTTGTAGAATTCTGCAGTTCTCGCAGTCGTAGTCGCAGTCGCGATGACAGTCGCAGTGGCAACGGCAGTCGCAGCCACAGCCTCAGCCTCAGCCTGCATCAGCCTCAGCCTCAGCCTCAGCCTGCCTCAGCATCAGCCTGCCTCAGCCTCAGCCTCAGCCTGCCTCAGCCTCAGCCTCAGCCTGCTTCAGCCTCAGCCTCAATCTGCCTTCAGCCTCGGCCTCAGCCTCAGCCTGCCTCAGCCTCAGCCTGCATCAGCCTCAGCCTCAGCCTCAGCCTGCATCAGCATCCGCCTGCCTCAGCCTCAGCCTCA